GGGTGAACTGAAGCCCCGCTCTGGGAAGAAGGGAACAACAGAAAGATGGCTAAGGGTTCTCCCAAACTCCTGCAAAACCTCTCGCCCTCTTGTCCCTACCTACCTCCAGCTTTTTCAATCTCCTGCACGCAGAACTTGGCACTGGAGGGTGCCGCAGGATGGTGCTCAGGAGCCTCATCTCCAAACATGAACTCGCTCCCCCTCAGGACGGAGCACACACCGTGCTGAGCTGCTTTCCGAACCTGGAGGTGGGTGAATACAGGGGCATAGAAACCATGGGCACAGAGAGCACAGCCAGCTCCAGAATCAAGCCATGGAGCAACACCCACGAGGTGCTGAGAACCCACCTTGGGTTTGGTGTGAACACAGAAGCTCAGCAAGCCGTGGTAGACCTGGAGGGTGACAGGGTAGCTCCACGCTGCCAAATCCTGTTTTCGCAGCAGTGTGGCCAGGCATGAGAGGACCTACAAGGAGACAGCAAGGATATTGGTATTACCTTACAGAGACCACCCTGAATGCGCCAGAGAGCCTGCCCCTCTCTGCAACTCACCCATCGCAGTGCAGAGGTGGAGCTGCTGCAGGCCTGTGAGGATATGATACTCATGAAGGCTTTTGAAGCGTCTGAGAACTTCTTTATGAGTACTGGACTGGGGACTCTGTGGGGAGAAAGGGCAAAGAGCAGGCAATCACATAGGGATTGGCACTCCCAGCCCACCCCTGGGACTGTGCCAGACCCCATCCTGCCGTGGCAGCTCTACCCACTCCAGTCAGCAGCTCACCGCTTCAAGACAAGGTTAAGCAAGTATGCAACAGCAGCCACTGACTCAGGGGAATCCACTGCCTCCAGTGTGGTCATCTGGGGAAAAAAGGAGGGGTTTGCAGCAGGCCAGCCTTTCCCGAAATTTTGGGGAAGGGGACAGAGAAACAAAGGGCAACTCAACAGTGTCTCTTCTATGGGATGCCCAAAGCCTCCAACACGAGCATAGCACCCCTGGGAGCTCCCATCAAACCCAGTGGTGGTCACTCACCAGTGCAGCAAAGTACTCAGTCTCAGTCTCTTTGCCCCCCTGTGAGCGGATCACATCTGTCACAGCTGCCAGCACGGCACAGATCTGCCACAACAGCAAGCAGAGCTGTCAGCACCCTTGGATTCTTGCTCAGGATGGGAGCTATGCCCAGGACCCCACACCCAGCCTCACTCTCCCTGGTACCTCTTTGTGTGCAGCAGAGTTGGACTCCCAGAAGCGCTGCACCTTGCTGAAGGTAACATTGGTGCAGTCGCTCAGCCCGCTCAGAAAGGTGCCAGAGGACTTCTGGGTGGCAGCCTCCCCAGCATCACCCTCCTCCATGGGCAACTGAGAGCTGTCAGTTGGCCGCTCCACACGCAGGGATCCTGACTGCAACTCATTGTGCAGCTTCACCGCATCCACCGTCAGATTGCTTTTCTCTGCCAGGTGAGCAGACTCGGGGTCAGGCTGTCCCACATCCCCACCACCCTCCCCTGCCAGTATGAGACGCGGATGTTGCTTTTGCCATAGGAAAAGCACTGCAACGAGGGGTGCAGAAGAGTGAGGCATTGAGTTTAGGATGAAACTCATTACTCAGAAGGTGGAGAGGCCCAGGCACTGCTGCCCAGATAGCTGTGGGTGCCCCAGTTGGATGGGCCAGAGGCCTCGACGCAGCGGATGGCAACCAGTCGACAGCAGGGGTCGGAAAGGGGTGGGCTTTAAGGTCTTTTCCAACGCTGCGCCGCCCCCCATCGCGTCCCACCCCGGCCCCCAGGCCGCTCACCGGCAGGCCGGCTGTAGAAACGGCTTCGCGCTGCCAGGCGGTGCCGCCGAGTCTCGGGATTGCAGTCGCTGCTGTGTCCCTTCCGCCACCGCCGCAGCTTAGTGGCGGTACCGGCCCGCAGCCTCCCGCACCGCGCCATGCTCGCCCCAGCTCCACGTGCCACCCCGCCCCGCCTCACTTCCGCTTCCGGCTCCCGCCGCCATTTGCAGTGAGGGCAGCGGCGCCCACATCGCGGCGCGGCGCGGTGACGTCACAGCCCGAAGGTCGCGCCGCCCTTCGCGGCCCCGCCATGCGCTACGTGCTCCCTCGCCTGCCGCCTCCGTCTGCCTGCGCATGCGCGCCTGGCACTGCCCGGCGCGGGGCGGCGCGGGGTGGGTCAGTCGCGCGCGGCGGCGGCAGCGGGAGGAGCGTGAGATCTGAGTGCCGGAGCAGCAATGGCCGCACACCGCCTCGTGCTCGTCCGCCACGGCGAGAGCGCCTGGAACCTGGAGAACCGCTTCTGCGGGTGGTACGACGCCGACCTCAGCCCTGCCGGGCAGCAGGAGGCGCGGCGCGGCGGAGAGGCCCTGCGAGGTACCGGCGAGCCCTGCGTTGAGCGGGCGGTGGGGCGGGCGGTGGGGCTGCGCCCGCCGGGCCCTGCGGCTGCCATCTCGGGGCGCGGCGGGGACCGGCGGTGCCCGTTCTGCAACGGCGCGGCCTCGTGCGGCCTCTGACCCCCCCAATCCTCCCCCCCCGCCTCCGCAGACGCCGGCTATGAGTTCGATATCTGCTTCACGTCGGTGCAGAAGAGGGCCATCCGCACCCTCTGGAACGTGCTGGACGCCATCGACCAGATGTGGCTGCCCGTGGTGCGGACGTGGCGCCTCAACGAGCGGCACTACGGGGCCCTCACCGGCCTCAACAAGGCCGAGACGGCTGCCAAGCACGGCGAGGCCCAGGTGAAGATCTGGAGGCGTTCCTTCGACGTCCCCCCGCCGCCCATGCAGTCAGACCACCCCTTCTTCAGCACCATCAGCAAGGTAAGGGGCTGCCAGGAGCCCGGGGAGCCTCGTGGCACAGGCCTCCCACGCTGCCCTTCGCTCTCCGGTTGCAGCATTGGTGACAGGGGCTGGACTGAGGCCATCCTGTGCGCTCCCTGCAGAGGATGAATCCCATGGGATGGCACAGAGTCAAGGGGAGATGTTAATCATTAGTCCTGCAGCCAAAGCTTGGGTGTTTGCTCAGCAGCAAGCACCGTGCTATTGCCCTCAGGCAGGGTCGGCAGCTGGAGGCAAATCCCAAAGCACTTTCTCGTGGGTGTATAGCTATAAGCCATTTCCACTCCTCAGTCACTGTTCTCAGCACTCAGCCCCTAGTACCACCTTTCTGTTCTATACGGCTGCTGGTGTAGCCCCTGAGGGTGCTGGGCTGTGATGCAGGTGTGGTGGTGTTACTGCAGGATCGCCGCTATGCTGACCTGACAGAGGACCAGCTGCCCACATGTGAGAGCCTGAAGGACACCATTGCCCGGGCCCTGCCCTTCTGGAACGAGGAAATTGTCCCACAGATCAAGGAGGGCAAGAGAGTCCTTATTGCGGCCCATGGCAACAGCCTGCGGGGGATTGTCAAACACTTGGAAGGTACTGCAGCTCTGCACACTGCTTGGGATCTCCCACTGCTCTGGCTCCACATGAGCAGGGCTTTCCCTTGCCCTCCCTTTGAGTAACCATCCTCTGTTTGCAGGCATGTCAGAAGAAGCCATCATGGAGCTGAACCTGCCCACCGGCATCCCAATTGTGTATGAATTGGACAAGAACCTGAAGCCCATCAAGCCCATGCAGTTCCTAGGAGATGAGGAGACGGTGCGCAAGGCCATGGAGGCTGTCGCTGCTCAGGGCAAAGTCAAGAAATGAGGCAGGTGTGCAGACTAGCAAGTAGATGAGTCCCCTCCGTCCCCACCCCTCTGTGCACACCCCACAGCTGTAGGAACTTGGAGCTGCAGAGCTGGAGCAGGGAGCAGCTCTCCAGGACTAGGCCCCTTCCCTCTGCACCAGGCTCACCTCTGCAGGCAGCCTGGGAGCTGGGGGGTGAGGGGCTGTGTGCACAGGGGTCTGGTGTGAAAGGGAGTCCTTGCTCTGCCAGGCAGCAACTGCAGCCCTATGTTGTGTGTTCCCAGCCCTTGGGGGGATGCTCTCAAGCAATCTTTTGCCATGCCTGGCTTCTCTCGCTTCCCCGGCAGCTCTTGTCACTGTTACTGTAGTTCTGTTGCTTGGTTTAGTTACTCCAGGAGCACAACAGGAGCGGTGGGATGTGGGCAGGAGGGGGCAGCAACCAAGATGGGTGCCTAGTCCCCTTGTGGCTGTGTGACACAAAGGCTAGTATGCTTAGATACCAAATGGGTAGTACTGTGGTGCATGCTCCTGTTGTAGTACAGCACCCAGTAGTAGTACTTGCAAACCCTGACCCAGCTCTACCAGCCAATGCTTTAACTTATTGCTTTTGGACAAAGGAAGGAGCGTGTTGTCTGGGAATTTGTATTTGCCATGTGCTTCCTACAGCCAAAGCCAACCCTAGTCCTGCCTCATGGAGGTGGTGTAGATGCCATTGTGCCCCCAACCCACAAACACGTACTTGGCACTGTCACTGTAGCCTCCCCCACTGCTGCTGTAGTGAGCCTGGGCTTGCACTGGGTCAAACTAACTGTCCAGCAGTACCAGTTGTCTTGTTCCAGTTCAATAAAATATTAATATGCAATAATTAATGCCTGGGTTTTTCTGTGCCACTGCGCCATGTGCTCCTGGGCCACATGGAGCTCCCACTTTGCCTACCGCCTTCTTTCCTGTGCTACCACGTGTTTGTGATGCAGAAATTGCTGCTGACTTGTGGGTGCAGGAAGTGCTTGGGCTCTGCACAGCAAAGCACAGTTCTGCAATCCTTGCTGCTGAAGAGTGATTCACTGCGACTCATCCGTGGTTTACTGCCTCTGGCGTGTGCCACACCCTTTGCCTAATGCAGGGCATGTTTGACCTGAGGTGATAAGCGGCCTTGGAGAGGAGTGCAGCAGCTGCAGCCTGTGCTGAGTACCACTAGCCTCAAAGCCCTTCACTGTTCCCCTTCCCCAGCCTCAGGCTGGGAACATGCTTCCTCACCCCTGCACTGCTCTCTGAAACAGCCCCATCCAGCAGCTCCAGAGCAATCCGTATGGGCAGTCACTGAGCAGAACACAGAGCTCTCAAAAAAGAAAAAACATTTATTACCTACAGCACAAATACAAAATCGATCCTGCTGTTCCAGTCTCTCAAGTGTGGAGCTGCATGGAAGCTGCTGGACCCCACCACAGCAGCCCTCCCTCCTGGGGTCCCCGTGCCCCTGAGGGGGCTGCTAGGTCTGCAGGAACTGCGGCTGCACGCGGGCCACCTTACGGAAGTCCTTGGTGTGTGTCTGTGGGCACTGCATCTCACACCAGCTGATAGGAACCATCTGCACCCCTGCAGGAACCCCCAGTCAGCAGGTTTCCTTCCTGCTTACTTTTTTTTCATATTTCCCATCCCCAGCAGTGCAAGGCCTCCTCTTGGGCCCCCCAAGGCTCAGCAGTGGGAGGAAAGAGGGAGGGTGTTTGCTCCCCAAGCTGCATCAGCTGCTCCCCACATAGAGAAGAGGTGATTCCTACCTGCCTCGCTGCGTGCCACTACCACGCCCAGCTCATTCTCTGCTGTGCTCAGCAGGTAGTTGGACTGTGCATCCCCCAGTGAGATCTGGTTGGGTGTGGGTTAAGAGAAAAACTCTCTTGCCAATACAAACCCTCCGGGCCTGTGGTCCTGCCCAGCGTGATGGGAAAGGATACAACTTTGGCTAGAACTATGTCACCAGGACGAAAACTCTTGTAGACTTCTACCTGTGTGGGAAGGAAGGGACAGGAGTGCATGGAGAATGCAGGTATTTCTTAATAGTCACTACAGGCAGCAGAAGGATGAGAGCTGGAGAGGTGGAAGCTGCAATGGCACTGAACCCAGCAATGCCCTGCTGACCTTATCCTTCTCAGTGGCTCGAATGTCTTCCCTCCTGGAAAAGGAGACACAGGAATGTGATACCAGAGAGAGCAAGCAGGAGCTGCCCCAGCCTGTCTGGACACTGGCCAGACCTCGCTAGATGTCTCCAGGCAGCTGCCCTCACCCAGCTGGCCAGCGCCAGGCAGGCAGCCCGCCCTGAGCAGCACGCCCCCTGCCCTTTCCCTACCGTATGGTGCCGCGAAAGGTGGATTTCAGCGGTGTGGAGCCAACATACAGGATGTTCACTTTGGCAAACCGGGAGTTGATGCTGCACACCTGCACAGAGGGACAGCAGGCAGTCAGTGCTTGTGCAGTGCAGGCTGGGCCCGGAGACTTGTTTACTGCTCTGCTGCTCTCTGTCCCCGCCGCTCTGGCCACTGCCCTCCACGCGGAGTTCTGTAAGGAAAGCGCAGAGCCCCCGGCCACAGGCACGCACAGGGACACGCGAGGGGCCGTCCCACCCCCGGCACCTACCTTGCAGGTCACCACGGCCCCCACGCCGGGCAGCAGCTGCGCCTCCGAGTCCCGCACCACCGACACCACGGGCAGCTGCGAGGCACACACAGGCTCAACTCGGGGCCAACCACGCCCGCCCCGCACCCCCCGGAGCCCCGCTCCGCGCTCACCCCGCCGCCCTCGGCACATTTCTGCAGGCAGCCGGCCAGCGAGGCGAAGATGGAGCCATGCCGCGCGTAGGTCCCGCTGCCCGCCGAGGCCTCTTCCGTGCTGCACAGCCGCTCGCCTGCGGGACGCTCGCTCAGCGCCGGGGCCGTCCGGCCCGGCCTCCCCCAGCAGCACGGCCCCGCACTCACCGGGCACGCAGTACCGAGCCGGCGGAGCCATGTTCCGTGTCGCGCGTGAGTCCACAAAGAGCCCTCCTCCTATTGGCTCTCAGCGACGGGACCGCGCTATAAGCAGCATGCCTATTGGCTCACCTTTATCCCTAGGGAGAAGTGGTGGCGCGCTGCCCGCTGGGAGTCGTAGTGTAGCGCTGGGAGACGGCTCTTCCCGGCATGCTTGGTGCGCAGGCGCGGGGCGGCGGGCGCTGCCCGGGGCCGTGAGGGCGGCGCGGGCACCGGGCATGGCGGTGGGCGGCGGGGAGCGGGCGGCAGGTGGGCGTGGGCCCGGGACCGGGACCGGGTGCCGCGTGCTGCGGGGCTGGGTGCCGCAGAGCGGGGGAACTCGGCCCGCAGCGGAGGGCTGGGGAGGCTGCGGCCCGGCCCCGTGACGATGCGGGCCCCTTGGCAGGGTGCTGCCTGCCCACCGTTGGGCCGCGCTGCCCCTTAGCTGCCGTCGTCCGTCACGGGCGAGGGCATCTCTGAGCCCTGTGTCTCTGGGAGCGGGGGCGGCACGCGGGGTTGGCGAAGCCCACCTCCCCGCTCTGAGGGTGGGCTGGGTGCCGCCGCGAGCCGGCTGCGCGGTGCGTGTGCCTGGAGCAGGGTGCGGCGCTGCCGCCTGGCGCTGTGCCGAGGCGAACGGGACCTTGGCAGGATCCCGGGTCGTCCGTGCTGGTTAATATTTATGGCCGTGCCTGCACGGAGGCCCGGGGGCCCCGACCCGGCAGATCGTTTGCCTCATTTCGGGGCCGGCTCGGGTTCCTCCTTGCTCCCAGCACGGCCCTTGAGTGGGATGAGAGGCTCGATAGGAAGACGAGCGCTTGGCTGTGTGTTCCTTTGCTGTCTGATGGGCGGCACCTCGGCCTGGGGGTGCCTGCGAAGTGTGGCACTGTCTTGGGAGGATCCGGGGGAGGGGGAAGGAGAGGTACTGGGACTGTCGGTGCAGCGCTGTGAGGTTGGGATAGGAGTGGGGTGGCCTCTGCAGCTTGGTCCAGAACCTGAGGCAAAGGGAAGTGGCATCCAGATGATGCCTTCTAGGTGTGAGGACAGGGCATGTATATTGTGTGGGCTTCCTCATTTCTAAATCAGTTAGGAAAGACTGGTGAGGGGATCCCCCATGGTTTTTGAGCATTCCCTGCCCTGGAATGGGCTCAGCGCCCCAAGTGCCCGCACCGTCTCTAGTTTCCCCTGAGTCAGACTCTCCGTGTCAGTCCCCATCCCCCTCCCCTCTGGGAAAGACGAGATGGGAGCAGGGAGCATCTGAGGTCAGGTGCGGAGGCCTGAGAGCCCCGTGTCCCCCTCTCCATGCGCAGAGCTCAAGAAAGCAGCAACACGGGCTCCAGATCGGGCTCAGCGCCACCTGCTTCTGCTCTGCGTCCGTGCCCGTGCAGGGTACAGCCCTGCCCCGCTGTGCAGGCAGGCACCTGGCAAGAGCTGCACCGTCAGCACGCCCAGGAGGGGACGCCCTCCCCACGGGACAGCGGCAGCAGGGCGGCCTGCCCACATCCAGCCTCTTCCCTGCAGGTGCATCTCAGCAGGGATGAGAAGCCGGCAGCGGATGTTCGCAGCGGTGATGCGCCTGCTCCTCAAGTGCCTGCGTCTGGGCCGGCGGCGGCGCTTTAAGTTGCTGCGGCAGGCAGGACAGCTGTGGCACTACGGGCGTCTCTGTCTCCGCTCCCTGCTCTACAATTCCTTCACCGACAGCGACGTGGTGCTTGACTCCCTCTTTGAGCCCGTCTACTGGCTGGTGGACCATGTCACCCGCTGGTTTGGTGTGGTGAGTGCCTCCATTGCTAGAGGGGTTTGGGGTGGCGAGCATGCTGCTGGGGACACTGAATCGTAGAGCTTGAGCTGCGCTGCTCCAGGTGGAAGGGAGTGAGGATTCAGCATGGAGCAGGTGCTGCACACTCCACTGACCCAAACTCCTTTTCCTTTAGGTGTTTGTGGCACTGGTGATAGGGTTGACAAGCTCCATCGTGGCCATCGTATACATCTGCCTGCTGCCCCTCATCCTGCAGACATACACACCTGCCTGGATTTGCTGGCATCTTGCCTACGGACACTGGAATCTCATCATGATTGTCTTCCACTACTACAAGGCCATCACCACCTCGCCTGGGCACCCTCCGCAGGTGAGGCTGAGCCTGGGCACCAATGGGCAGTGCAGCCTCTTGCAGCTGGGCACTGGGGACCAGGTACAGCTGACCACTGGGAGCATCCTGTTGGCATCACTGCAGGAGGCGTCCTCCAGACAGGGGCTGGGAGGGGAGGCAGGTTTGGGGGAGTATGGCTAACACATGGGGAGCAGGGGATGGTGTGGGGTTTGGGAGCACATCTTCTTTTCTGACCTGTGTGCAGGCCAAGAACGATCTCACTGGCGTCTCCATCTGCAGGAAATGCATTGCCCCCAAGCCGGCTCGCACCCATCACTGCAGCATCTGCAACAGGTAATGTTCCCCGGCCTCCCCACCACATCAGGTAGTGCCTCTGCTACCCGGGGTAGGATACTTCTCCCTCCCCACCATAAGCCATGAGAAACGTGCCCCTTCCTCTCTGCTCTGCTGGCTTTTTACCTGCCTCTAGCACAGCACGAAGGACTGAGGGGGCTGGCTGCCCCCTCCCAGACGTGGTGCTTGCAATTCGCACTAACGCTTGTGGTGCTCTCCTCCCTCCCAGGTGTGTGCTGAAGATGGACCACCATTGTCGTATCCTTCTGCAGTACTAACTCACTGCACTCTCCTGAGGAGCCAGCCCTGCTTCCTCCTCATCTCCCTGCTCCATTTCTGTCCTGAGTCACTCAGTGCAGGGGAGGGTTCATAGAGCCTGGCTGGGTGTCTTGATCCCCATTGGTGGGTTTGGACTAGCGATCATCACAGTTACACACCTTTAACCCTAGAGGCAGCCTGGCTCAATAACTGTGTTGGGCACTACAACCACCGCTACTTCTTCTCCTTCTGCCTCTTCATGACCATGGGCTGCATCTACTGCAGCATCAGCGGCTGGGACATGTTCCGGGATGCCTATGCAGCCATTGAGGTGAGTTTGAGTGAGATGGCCCCTCATCTGCTCCAGGAGAGGAAGTGCTGGCATACTCAGAGGCTGCCTGGTCTCCCTAGGCTGAGCTTGCAGAACAAAGCTGAACCAGCACTAGCATTGTACTGACTTTGCTTCTCCTCTCCCTCCTCCTGTGAAGTCCCTGCTGCCTTAGTCCTGTGAGGTTTGAGAGGAACGGCCCTTTCCTCTGAGCCATGTAACTGGTGCCCTGTGTTTTCCATCCCCCTAGAGACTGAAACTACTTGAGAAGGAGAGACTGCAGGTGGCCGCCAACCAGGTGGGACATCCCTGCTCCCCAGCTGCTCCAGGCAGCGTGGAGCAGAGCTGCCCTGCAGGCTGAATCCTGCTCTCAAAGTGAAGCCTGAGGCCAGAACCAGCCCCCATGCTTGTCTCATGAGTCACAGAGTTAGGGCTGCCTGGGCAGCTCTGCTACAGGCACAACCTCCGGCAGCTTTGGGTCTGATTTCCCCAAGTACCGAGCTTTCAATGGCTTTGGCTGGTGGCAGCAACAGCACTGGGGCCAAGCCACTGTTTGGCATGCTACTCAGGCTCTGCTCTCCTGGGGAAGCTGCAGCAGCAGTATGTAAACACATCTCACCCTGAGCATCATCTCCTGTGTGGTGCAGTGACCTGCTCCCTGAGCTCCAGCACACTGCTTGTCACTCATATGCCGGCTCTCAAGTGGTGTCTGTCTGTCTTGTGGCTGTCTTCGGCTGCCTCCCTCTTGCCCTGGCTGTTGTGTTAGTTCTGATGCCAGTTTTTTCTAACTGCCTGATTCCTTCATCAAAGGAGCACTGCACTACCTGCCTGGCTTTACACTATAAAGCATTCTGGTAACGTGCCCCTCTGTCCTTTTTTAGACATATTACCAGACCCCACCACCCACCTTCTCCTTCCGCCAGCGAGCTTTCCACAAGAGTGTGGTCTACCTCTGGGTCCTGTGCAGGTAAATGGGGTTACAGAGGCTGGGAGGGTGCTGGGGAAAGCAGTGGGGCCTGCTGCAGCACTGCTGTGCTGTCCCTTGTATGCCACCTTCCCTGGGCTAGACTGCTTTGCTCTAGCACAGACATCCCTGCCCTGCTGGCTCTTGGGCTCCCAAGAACTGATTTCAGATCCCTGGCACATGGGATTAAAGCCATCAAACCACCTGCACTTGCTCAGGAAAACAGCCTCAGTCCCCCACAGTTACGACACTGGTGAAGACCTATGTGCAACCTACTGTGGCTTGTCCTCAGCTCAGTAGCACTGGCCCTGGGTGCTCTCACACTGTGGCATGCTGCCCTCATCACCCGTGGGGAAACCAGCATTGAGAGGCACATCAATAAGAAGGAGAGGCAGCGACTGCAGAAGAAAGGCAAGGTAAGCACAGCCCCAGGGTGGGAGGGCCAGCCAGGCAGAGCCAGACTTGATGTGCATCTCTCTGGCCCACAGGTGTTCAGAAACCCCTACAGTTACGGCAGCTGGGATAACTGGAAGGTGTTTCTAGGAGTGGATGTGCCAAGGTAAAGCACAAGGGTGCTGGGACCCAGGAACCAGCTTTACAGGGCTCAGAGGACCCAGAGCAGTTTTTGAGCCCAGTTGTAGTGCAGCCTCCAGCTGCCTCAGCTTTGCCTAGTGGCAAGCTCTGGCTGAGCCCCTGCCAGAAGAGGGAGGCTGTTGTGGCAGCTGAGGGCCATGGACTCAAGTACCTCACTGGCTCCACTCAAGTACCTAACAGCCCTGGCTCCACTCTGTGGTGCCGTGACTTCAGCTTTTTGCTGCAGGCTTTGCTTCTCTTCCCACAGGCACTGGCTCACCCGTGTCCTGCTGCCCTCTCCTCACTTGCCCCATGGAACAGGCCTGAGCTGGGAGCTGCCTCCCTGCATGACCGAGCAGCGTGCACCGCTCCTGGCCATCTGAGGTCTGGGTGCTGCAGCAGTCCCTCCCTGCTGGCAGGGGAGACACAGGGGACCCACTCCACAACCACGGCTCAGTTTGGCCTAAGTGGCTGGGGGAAGGCAGGTGTGCTGGC